GCAGTTTGCAACCTAGCTCACAAAATACTAATGTTCTCATCACTTTGGCTGTCATGGATTCATGGAAGATTTGGTCAGCATATTCCTTCAAATGGCCCACACTCTCTTGGCAAGAACTGTGTGGGTGAGGCCTAAAAGTAAAATCTGCTCTAAAGCATGGGTCTGTGAGAGTAGCTGACATTCCAACCCATGTCTAACAGGGAGATCTGCTAAGAAATACCAACAAAGGACTTCTGGGTTTTTTTGATAAAACTATTTATTGATAACTTTGTGATTTGCTTTATACATTGGATTTCCTAATAATTTCTAAGAGACAAAATTCCGAATACTGCCTGGCTCTGTTCTATCTTTAGCAACCACATTCTTCAATATGATAGTGATTTTTGTGCAGAAGTTCCGGAAAATTTACTCAGTGTGCCAGAGAACATGCCAGAGGGCGTTATCGGAGAGGCTTGGATTACCAGATCACCCAGTAAATGGGTGATCTAGTCAATAAAGTATGTTTAAGATTTCAGTTACTGAAATTTTTATACTTCTGCTTATACAAAACTAGTCACAGCGCAGAGATTCACATTCTATGTAGCTTTAATGCAACAGTGGTCTGCTACTTAACAACACAGTTCTGAATTACACTAGTGTTGTTTTTAATTAATTAATTATTCATTCACATGCTCATGCTAAACTCACCCTCCTGCCTCAGCCCCACTACCGGCTGGAATTACAGGCACAGGCTGCTCAGTGTCTGACTCCTGTGTTTCGTTTTACATTTTGCCACTCAGGAAATAATGGTGACACAGAGAACCATTTTTGTGAACTGGGAATACAAAGCAACACAATAAAAGAGAAAAGATCAAGAAACAATATGAGAGCCGGGCATGGTGGCACACGCCTTTAGTCCCAGCACTCGGGAGGCAGAGGCAGGCGGATCTGTGTGAGTCTGGGGACAGCCTGGTCTACATGGTGAGTTACAGACCAGCTGGGGCTATAGGGAGACACAGCCCGAGAGAGAGAGAGAGAGAGAGAGAGAGAGAGAGAGAGAGAGAGAGAGAGAGAATAAAAACATTAGCAGAGGTGAATGGCATGTTGTGACTCTGAAATGAACACACATTTATCATCTGTGCATGACGATTGTGTCCAAGATTCAAAAGGGCAACATTTCTGAGAAAATGATTATCTTACAGTCAAAGCTGATTAAACAAAATTGCTTCATGGTTTTGCTTTTCATTCAGCATTACTAGACAGCTTTAAAGGACCTGGAGATCACTAATGTGAATGCTAGCACATTCTCCAAAAGAAACAAAATGAATACATGAGTTGAGCCTCATGCTGCAAAGATGGAATCACCTCAATACCTTCCAAACTAAGAAATCTCACTGGACTCATTAGACTCTGGTGATTAGGACAAATGATATGCATAGTATGGGAACAGTGTTAAAGGTACTTTATTCCAAAGACCAAACTATTTTTAAGAACATTTTTTAAACAGTTGACATCTCAAACTTAGATTCTTTTATCCATTAGAGATGTTGGCAAAGGAAAGAAATATTCCCTACAAACATTCTACATAGAACAGCAGAGGCCAGCTTAAATTCATACCAAACCAGAATAAGATTTAGCCAAACACTTCTAAAAACAAGATTAAAATGAATTTGTAATACCCTATTGTCATCTCCTGTCTGACAGGTATGCCTATGTCATGGAGGCTTATTTGACTATTTTTTCCTGTAGGGGTTGACAGTGCGGGGAAACCACACAGCTTGGTTTTCATTGCACTTTGGTTTGTTTATTTATTTATTTATTTATTTATTTATTTATTTATTTATTGTGTTCTATAAAAGAACTTATCAAACCATGATCTATCTGGGTTTATTTTTTTCCAAAAAACTTTTCACAGAAAGCAAATCTATGGCAAACATGGTAGAGGACACACAATTGCATCATTCTCTATGTGTCTGTTTGGGAGAGCAACAGCGATTACCAAAATCTGTAATATAGGTTTTCTTCACCAAGCAGATCTCTAGACAAAGAGACCAACAGTCAGCTTCAGGGTCACAGGTTCCAATAAGCAGAACTACGGTTACATGGCTGCTTTTTTTTTTTGGTCTTCTTGAGACAAGGTCTCCCTGTAGCCCCGGCTGTCCTGGAACTCACTATGTAGACCAGGCTGGCCTTGAATTCACAGAGATCTGCCTGCCTCTGCCTCCCAAGTGCTGGGATTAAAGGTGTGCACCACCACTCCTGGCTGGTTACATGGCTTTTATGGGGCGTCACATTACTGGGTATTCTGGCAGAAATTCTAAACATCACTTGAAGTCACTGTTTACCACAGTAATCCACGGCTTGATCAGGAAAAATACAAAGAATCAGTGTGAGGATGGCTGGAGAAACAGCTCAGTGGTTAGAGAACTTACTGTTCTTCCAGAAGACCCAGGTTAGCGGTTAGAGAACTTACTGCTCTTCCAGAAGACCCAGGTTCAGTTCCCAGCATGCACAGCAACTCACACCCTGACACCCTCTTCTGTCCTCTGCAGGCACCAGGCACACACATGGTGCACTTATATATGTGCTGGCAAAACACTCATAACGATAAAATGTAAAGTCTTTTAAAAGAAGCATAGATAGGAGGTGGGCAAGACTTCAGGGTACAGTTGGGCAAAGTGTGTATTTGTTTTCTGTTTCATTTTGTTTTTGACAGTGTTCCCTAGTCCCAGCCTGCCTGGAAGTCATTGTGGAGACCAGGCTGGCCTTGACGTCACAGAGATCCATCTGCCTCTGCCTCCTGAGGACTGGGATTAAAGGCCTGCTCCATTATGCCCAGCATCAATGTGTGTATTTTAAGATACTTATTTTATGTATATGAGTATACTGCCTACCTGTATGTAGGTGCACCCGTGTCGTGCAGTGCCCACAGAGGTCAAAAGAGGGCATTGGATCCCCTGGAACTGGAGTTATGGATGGTTATAAGCCACCATGTAGGTGCTGGGATTTGAATCTGGATCCTCTGCAAGAGCAGTGCTCTTAACCTCTGAGCCATCTCTCCAGCCCCAATGTGTGTATGTTAAAAAGTCCCTCACACATAGGTGAGCAAACCTCCACCCCACTGTGGCTCTGGCCTAGTAAAACACAGGCATCTTTGGGTAATTCAGCCCAGACAGGGCTTTTGTCACTTACATGACTGTATCTGGGCAGCTCAAAACTGCCCAGAAGAGGCCCGCGACACCCTGAATACATTCTGCCTCATAGTCTCAGAAAAAGAAGAACCCAGCAAACCTTTCAAGTTTTCACTAAGCAAAGCTATCACTGCTCAGAAGTTTTACTTGCTTTCAAATTTAAAGGGAACCCCAGGAAAGTACACAGCTAGATCTCAAAGGAGAAATACATAAAAATACATTGAGCTACCTGGTACTGAGTCAAGTGAGAAGAAAGCTCTGATTCACAAATGCTTTTTTTAAATTATTATTTGATGTTTATGTTTTGCCTTGGAGTGCCCACAGAGGTCAGAAGAGGGTGTCAGATCCTCTGGGACTGGAGTTACAGACAGCTGGTAGCTGTCATATGGGAACCGAACCCAGACCTCTGCAAGAACAGAGTTCTCAACCACTGAGACATCTCACCAGCCCCAACACATGAAAATTTTTAATCTCACCTTAGAAAAATGGAAGTTGTAGTAAAATACATACAATGAAGGCTTTAAGATCTGTTTTGGGAATCCAAAGTAATTTATTCATCATTTATACCTATAAATATGATACTATTATATGCCAACACATCATAGTATATATTATTTCAGCATACACAAACAGCATATATGACTTACACACTAAAATATTTAATTCATTTAAAAATATTTAGAATCTCTATCTGAGAAAGCTTTCCCACTTAAGAATGTGGTAAGAGGAAACACGCTTGGTGTCCAGAGACAATTCCAGTCCTAACTGCTTTCTCTTCTCCCCGTGCTGTTTCATATTTTCATTCTTTGAAGGAGCATTTATATTATCCACTGTGAGTCAATGCCAAAGACATTCACATGAACAAAGACCCGAATGAAGCAATGAAGGAAAACATGCCTATGAACAATACTCGAATGAGGTCTTCACTTAAGAATTTCAACTATGTCAAACGGAGTGCTGGAGAGAAGGCTCGGTGGCTGACCTGCTTGCTGTGGGACCATGAAGACCAGAATTTGTATTCTAGCATCCACATAACAAACCAGGCATCCTGCAAACACTCCAGCTCCAAGGGATCGGACATTGACCTCTGGCCTCCACAGTCGCACACAAGTATGAGCACCTGCATGCGCACATGTGAACGTACAATCAATCACACACACACACACACACACACACATAAATCTTAAAAATATAAATATTTCAAAAAGTTTAACTCTACTGATTAAAGACAAATTCATATAGCATATGAATCCTGCTAAAGTCTATGTAAATATTCTAAAATCCAAAGATCTTCAAAATATGCAACATTTATGTCCCAAGCATTTTGGGTACATGATATGCAATCTACATCATGCATTTCAAATATATATATGTTTTGAGACAGGGTCTCCCTGTAGCCCCAACTGGCCTGGAACTTGCTATGTAGACCAGGCCTACATCTCACAAAGATCTGCCCGCCTTTGCTGCCTGAGTGCTGGGATTAAAGGTGTGCACCGCCACACCCAGCTTCAAATAACTTTTTATCAGTCATAACTGTAACAATTTTGGTCATGTCTGCTCTTCATATAATGATAAAATATAGTGTTATACCTAATAAAATTTCACAGTCGACTTTATACAACTTTTTTTTTTTTTTTGGTGTTTTTGAGACAGGGTCTCCCTGTAGTCCCAGGAGGCCTGGAGCTCACTATGTAGACCAGGCTGGCCTTGAACTCACAGAGATCTGCCTGCCTCTGCCTCCCAGGTGCTGGGACTACAGGCGTGCACCACCACACTTGGCACAGCATTCTATATTAACACAAAATCACATTCTAGTTGCTTATTAAATACCTTTTGCAGACTAGTAGGATTTAGCTGAGTTTTGTCTATTATTTTCACAGCAACCTAAAAAAAAAAAAAGAATTGTAAACTGCATTTGAGATACACATTTCAAAGACTAAAACCTTACACAGAAAACATTTTGCTTTATTCTTAAGAAAGCGTTATTTAGTTTTATTTGAATGCTCACATACTTGGATGGTACAGTTCTAACACCCTGGCAGCCTTAGAACATGCTCCATCGGCTTGCCATTAACCTCCTGATTCTGTAGGGATGGAACAAAGCCTTTGCTGTTTCTTACACATTTCTCCTTTAAAACTATAAAATCATCCTTATAGCCTAGCCTTTTGTTCAAGATCTTGATAAGTAACAGACATACCAAAGGATGGCTTATAAGCTTGTACTTCCTGTAAGTGAAACTGTTGTACCGAGACAGAAACAGGATACCTAAGCTTTCTCACAGCAAACTAACAAAAGAGATTTGACTATCCTTAAAGGCTAGCCTTGTCAGCCTGTGTCTGAGCAGCTGGGGACAGCATGGACAGGAGGGACTCCACTCACTGGAGACCACAATGACAATATGTATGGAGGGAAGTGGAAGCTTATTATTACTACATCATGGCTGAAATTAAAAAATAATGTTCTAATCAGATCCTAATACAAAACATTGGATGTTTACTGAAACAGCCTTTAACTCTGGTGTAAACACTACAAATTCACAGTGCACATACAAATAGACATATGTATTTACTATGCAACTATTATTTCAAACACATGGAATGAGCAGGGTGTGATGGTGCAAGCCCACAATTCCAGCATGTGGTACACAGAGGCAGGAAGATCAGGAGTTTAAGGCTGGTGTCAGCTAGGTAGCAAGTTTAAGGCTAGCCTAGGCTACAAGAGACCCTGTCTCAACAGCATCCCCCACAGACAGACAAACATATGGAATTTTAGAAATTCTTATCACCTGAAAAAATTATCTGTATGACAGTATTTACTTGATGCAGTCTCTAAACAGATAAAAATTAGCATGTGATTTTCCAAGTATTCACGCCTAACTGTCCTAAGCAGTAATTCATAAGCTCTTATGCCAGCCTTGTTCCTCAGACAGAGGAATGGTGGTAATAAGTGCTCACATACTACATGACAAGCTGAGGACAGCTCATCTGCAGTGCACTGATCTGGAAGAGATGATACAAGGTAGAGACGGGTCTTTCCTATGTGAAGGGCAGCTGCCGCACCATGAAGCAGACCTGTCTAATGCTCCCTGCACATGTGTCCCGGGGTTCACCATCTCACAGGGCCGCCCTGAGAGAAAGCCACACCTATGAGAAAGCCTCTCACAAGCCTCTGGAGCAAAGTCCATGCAAACACTAAAAGAGATCATGAACACTTACCTCTCTGCCGGTTAGAACATGTCTTGCCAATTTCACCTTGGCAAAATTCCCCTTCCCTATTGTTTTTTGTAAACGGTAATTTCCAATGTGAGGCTGTTCATCTGTTGCTGATGTAATGGAGTTTCTACACCGGGGGATGTTCTGTCTGCTACTTGATTTCGTAGGCTGGATGTGTGGTTCAGTGTAGCCATCCACAGATGTGTGCTAAGAAAAGATATAAGATTTCATTGCCACTTAGATTATATTATAAACGGACAATTAAAAGACTACATATAACTTTCATTAACAGTTCACAATGAAAATACATGGTACAGCACAATTTTAAATTTTAAATATTGTATTTCTTTCTTTCTGGCTTCAACTCTCCTTACCAGTAGGCATACCATTTAAAATGAAATGTGCTTCATAACTTTAAGTCCATTTTGATTTTTAAAATATTTTACTATTTTTTTCCTTTTATGTGTATAAATGTATTGCCTGCATGTATGTAAGTACACCCAGGTCATGCAATGCCCACGGAGGTCAAAACAAGGTGTCAGATTCCCCTGCAACTGGAGTTACAGATGGTTGTTAGCCATCTGTCATTAGTACAAAACGACAGAAGTGTGTTTAGGGCCATTTCAGAATTATTAAGAATTCTGTACTACCTCAAATTCAAAGTTCATTTAATGTTTTCTTTGTGCTTATGTGTGAACCTCGAGTTGGCAACTCAAACAGCAGTTTTTAAAATTAAACATGATGTGTTGGTCTATGACTGTCAATTTGACAGACTCTAGGAGACAGGCCTCTGGGCATACCTTTTCAGGATTATCTAGATGAGGTTAATTGAGGTGGGAAAAAGCACCTTAACTGTGGGTGGCACCATTCTGTGGGCTAGCATCCTGGACTGAGTAAAATGGAGGAAGTGAACTGAGCACTGACATCATCTCCCTCTGGCCTGACTGTGGATGCAACAAGACCAGCTGCCTCAGCTCCAGCCATCATGCCTGCCCTGTCATGATGGACTGCATTCCTTTGAGTGGGACTCCAGAATAAGCCCTTTTCCCTTTATGTTGCTTCCTGTCAGGTATTTTGACACAGCAATGAGAAATGTAACTAACTCTAACCCAGTACGTACCAGAAACACACATTTGTGCCAAAGAATGATAGTAGGAAAATAAAAGTCTGTTTTTCATAATTAAACCATGTTTCTATAAGAGTAGAAATCTTTGCATGTACAGAACACTCTAATTCATAACACACAGTCGGCTCAAATCTGAGCCAAGTGTTTCAGGTGGTGCTTGTTGGCACTGTGTGGTGTGAAGGCATGAGCAGAGTAAAGTGTGTTGTATGTTCAAAAACCAAGGTTGGCCGGGCAACGTGCACATGCCTTTAATTCCAGCATGTGGATCTCTGTGAGATAGTGGTCAGTCTGGTCTACATAGCAAGTTCTAGGCCAGCTGGGGCTACAGGGAGACCCTGTCTCAAAAAGACAAAACAACCAAGGCTGCAGTGAAGTCACACATTCCAATAGGTGACAGCTGCCACAACATCGTGGATTCATGATGTGTTTGATTTTTAAATTAATATTTGCTCATTGTGCTATAATATAATATACATTATATCAGTAAATTGTCATGTGATGTTTGTTCTTGATGAGAGTGGACTCTGTGACCAAGGGTGTGGGAGGCTGTTTCAGATTCAAGCATGTTTATCTTAAGGGTCCTCTAAGACTCCTTGTCCCAGGGCAGACTGGTTCCCTGGGAGGATGAACAGCAAACACCCAAGAGCATTAACAACATTGTGCCCAGGCTGGAGGGATGGTTCAGTAGTTAAGAGTGCTTACTGCTCTTGCAGAGGGCCTGAGTTTGGATTCCAGCACCGATGCTGGGTGGCTCACAACTGCCTGCAACTCCAGCTCCAGGGGATCTTCTGCCCCCTTCTGGCCAACATAGGCACTACACTCACATTCACAAAGACGCATATAAATGTACCAATACACATACTTTAAAAATAAATCTTTAAAACAAGTTTCCTTGAGAACAGCGAGAAGTAAACCGCTTCCAATAGAGGGTACTACTGTTCATTCCATGTATTAAAATGCTTGTGAAGGGAACAAGAAGCCAGAAGTCCCTCCAGGGAGCCGACAGTCTGCCTGGAAATCTCTCCCTGGGAACTCCAGCATGCCTGTTTAAGCAGGGCTTCCCCAGGTGTTCTGCTGGATGCCGTAAGTGCTCGATTCAGCGTTCTGCTGTCTACCCACTGCTTGCTATTTGTTCTTGCACTTGGAAGCCTCAACCTCCGGAAACACTGCTCCGCCTGGGACTCCCAAGCAGGGATCTCCAGTGGGGCTCCCCCAGCGGTTTCTGCTAGAAATGTCATCCGATCTGATGGTGCTATGCGGCTGTTTGCTACTTGTTCTTGTTTGTCCTGTCCACTGGACGCTCCAGCCACTGTTGGTGCTGTAAGTGCGCACTTGGACGTTCCGACTTTCTGCTACCTGCCGTTTGTTCTTTTCCTTGTGTTGGCTACTTTCGTAGTAAGCTTACTCAAACCAAAGGTATAGCTAGTGCCGGTCATTCTCCAGACAGAGCATGCGCCTCCAGAAGCTTTCCACTGTGGTCAAATTTTCTGTGAGCCCTACGTTTAGTCATGCGACCCCCATACAGGGGTAAGAACTAAAGCAGCCCCGCCACTTGGGCTAGCCACTTTCTGCTCTTCCTTGTAATTTGCTAGGCATGACTTGGCCAACAGTCAAGTTAAATCAGCTGCCCTCTTCAAAAGTACACTTCTAACCAATTTCAGCCCCTCCTCCTCACTCAGCTTACTCTGGCCAGGAGAACCGGATCTATATCCCTGCCCCGGCCCATGACCCAGTATCTACTGCATCCCTCCTGAGTGCTGTTATTGACTTCAGGGAGTAGTTGGTCCTGCTCAGAGGGGCTCAGCCTTTGCACTGGGCTGTTTTTTCTAGCTCTAATTGTAATCCCATCTAGTTCTGTCTGCATTTATCAGACTCATCAAATTTCTATCAGTTTTTGTTATAGAATTATGCATGATAAACATAACATCTTTACCTGTTTTTTAAATAAAATAAGTGAAGATGAGCAGAACAAATCAGCAAAGGAAGAATTTTTTTCAGCGTCACAAACTCAGTCCCCTGTGGTCTAACGTATATGGCCAAATGCCTATCTAAAATATTTTGACCAGAAATTCCAGACACGTTAAAGATGAACCTACTTTTCAGTCTTGTACAAAACATGACTTGTGTTTATTTTTCTCTTTACTTTCTTTCTCCCTTTGGTACAGGGGCACTAATCCAAGGTTTGGGGCTTGTACGCTAAGGTATGTCCACAGTCCACTCTAATTTTTTATGTTATTTTATTTTTCAATTCAGCTCAGGATTGGGGGTTTGGGGTTTCCTCCGGCCCTTGCACACCTTAGCCCTGGTCTCATCTTGGGTTGGGTGACTCCTAGCATATTCTTACAACACCCTGTGCTTCCACACAGTGTGGCACCCACCCCATTCCTACTGTTACTGCACATTTACTTAGTCACTAGCCCTCCATGATGTGAGCAGCTCCTCCAAAGAGCTGTCTGTCTTTTCAAACAGCGAGGTCGACCCTGCCTCCCTTCTGTTGCTACCTTTGTCCAGGAAATACTTCAAGTTGTTGCATCATCTTCTAAATACTTGTCCCAGGGTCTGTTACTGCTGTAAACCTAAAGCTTCTAGAATCCCCTAACTTCATAGTGCTAGCTCAGGGAAGGTCTCAACACACAGTGACTGAATTAAAGGGTTTTAGGGTCCTCATAGCCTTGGAACCCACACAAAATGACTTCTAAGGAATGAAAGCTTGCTACCTAGGTCTGTGATGTGTTTAAGGGCAGTGTGAGTCAAAACACTTGAGTGTACAGCCCAGCTGCCAATGGCAGTTGTACATGTACCCCATCACTGAACTAAGACTTGCATTATTAGTTCCAATTCCTTACATCTTTCACCAAGTAACTTCCCAGTGCTGAGGATGAGACTGAGGATGAGACACGGTTCTCTACTCTCCCAGGGCATCGTGTGATTTCTGACTTGGAAGTAACAGTGTGTAAACCAACACAAGTTTTCAAGAGGTTCTGCTATGCTTCATCTTGCTCTCAAAATTCTGCCATTCCTAGGGATAAACTTGCCAGCACATCAGAAGGATGAGACAGAGTAGAGCTACTCCCAACGGAGCCTGATAAAATCAACTGATTCCCCACTGACCCTCCGACTTAGCAGAAATAATGGCTGCTGATTTAAGCCATTGAGTGTTAGAATGATTTGTTACACCACAATGTAAGCTGATACATAAACTGATCAGGAATTAGGTTTTTTTGCAGTGCTGCGGATTGGAACCAAGACCTTGAGTACAACAGAAAACTGCTAAACCACTGAGCTACATCCCCTGCTCCGGTCACTACCTTTAAACTGAGAAGTAAACACAAGGGAGAACATTTCTGAACAACTGAAAGATTCTTAACATGATCAAATTCTAGCAGAATTTGAAAAAATAAATGAAACAGGTATATAATCAATTCCCTAAAAAGGAATTCTTGAGTGTACATAAGGTGCATGGGGCGGAACCCTTGGAACAGTCCGTACTCAGCATGAAATACTGTGTAACAGAGGGATAAGCAAGATACCGAAGAATAAAGTACCCACTACATTTGGCCAGTAGTGTCCGATGGAACACAGTGCAGTTGGGGATGCAAGATTCAATTTCAGGGTGACTGTTTTAAAAAGAATTAGCCCTCAGCATTAAGCACAATCATTTTATGAGTCTTCCAACTTCCACAGAATGCATTTATGAGTCTTAATGACAAATCACAACATACAGGACATATTTTATATTATTAAGTTCTGATTATAAGATAATCACCAAGAACAAATATTTGCATGTGCATCATATATCTTTCCTTAGGCTCATAGGCATCATCCAGGAGCATATCTGTCCTTGAAGGACTCTGAAAAACTGTCTGGGAGAGTTTACCTCAGTCCTTCCTAATCAATAGCTTAATTCTCAAGCAGCGAACGTGGCAAGATCATGGGTTTAGCTCGTGCCAAGCAATGGATTCAATTTAGAACTCAACCATAAGGCTGTTAGAGCCAAGAAATTATGTTAGCTTAGCTATAGCATTTCTTTGGGTTTTAGTTCCCACCTACAGCAGAAAATAACAAATTCAAACACTATTAT